TCCCATGCATACAGACAGAGTCCTTGGGAGAAATTAAGCATAAGTTGTTCCTAAGGAGGGAAGCAGGAATAGACAGAGCTCCCTGAGATGGTAACGAGATGGATGGTAGATTTGTAACTATTCGTTATTACTGTATGTGTGCCACATCTATAGTCTATGAATTTTGTACTTTGTAGTAGAAAATGGTTTGCAACTGTTTTAGGCAATTGCAAATTGAAACAACCATGAAATCTCACTCCACACCAATTAAAATTGCCCAAATCCACGTCACAGTGCTGGTAGCTCACACCTGTAATCCTATCCACTCAGGAGACTGAGAGCCGAGAATGATGGTTTGAAGCCAGCCAGCTTGCACTGATGAATCTGGGAAACTCATCTGCAATTATCCAGCGGGGAAAACAAGAAAAATAAATAAATAAAAGCTACAAATGAAAGTGTGGCTCAAGTAGTAGAGCACCCGTTTTAGATGAAGAAAACAAGCAAGAACACAAGACCCTGAACTGGCTCAAGCCCCAGAATTGGTACAAGGTCAAAATTGCCCAAATGCAGAACAATGACAACTTCAAGTACTGGTGGGAATGAGAAACGATGAGAAAACAATCCGACTGTTTCCTATAAAATAAAATGTTGCCAGGTGTCTAATGACTCAGCCTATCGGTCTTAGCTACTGGAGAAGCTGAGATCTAAGGATCATGGTTCCAAGTCAGCCCCAATGGGAAAGTCTGTGAAGACTCTTTGTCTCCAATTAACCACCAAACACCAGAAATGGCACTGTGGTTCAACGTGGTAGAGTGCTAGCCTTGAGCACAAAAGCTCAAGGACAGCACCCGGGCCCTGAGTTCAAGCTCCAGGACCAGCACCAAAAATAAATGAATAAATAAACAAAAGAAAGGAAAGGAAAGGAAAAAAAGAACAAGAAGTGTATGCCAAAGCTGGACGCAGATCATTTAAATGAAATAGAAATCGAACATAGACCGCTAAGGACCACAGGTCTCTGCCTGTGGAAAAGTGCTCCACTCCCCCAGGAGTTTAATGCCCCGGGCATCACACATCACACTCCTGCTGGTCTCTGTACCCACAAGCCATGTACCCCCACGTCCTGGGCCCAGCTCCTTGCCTGGGGATTCCACATCATGCCAGGAAGTGGAGGAAGGGAGCCAGGGACAAAGGGGATGGAGCTACTCAAATGTCCCAGCAGCCTCTGTGCGATCATCCAGGGTAGCCTGGAGAGGAGGAAAACAGAGCAGGCTTGCGACAATTAGAACTATTTGTCACTCTCCCAGACACCGACGCAGGAAAGAACAGGGTGACTTTTCCCCCAAAGCTCCTCTCAAAAGAGAGGCCCACGAAAACCTGTTCTCCCCACATGAACGCTTGGGATGTCAGTGGAGTGGCTTCTATCCCAATTCCATGCAAGAATCAGCCACTCGGGACTGGGTGCTGCCACTGGTTCAGCCAGGCAAGGCCCACCCTCATCCAGGCAGTTTGACCAATGAGCTTTGTACCTTTAATTGGTGTGCTGGAACTCAAGCTTGAACCCAAGACCTTGTGTTCACAGTGACTCCCCAGCCCTTTGCCCAGCTCACAGCTGGCTTGAGCTATGCCTCCATGTCTCCAGTCCAGCATTTTGCTGGTTAGTTGGAGATTAGAATCTCACAGACTCTTCTGCTCAGGCTAGCTATGAACCTTCATCCTCAGATCTCAGCCTCCTGAGTAGCTAAGCTCCCCACCCTCCTTTTTTTGTTTTGGTGGTGGTTCTTCATGTTGAACTTAACACTCTGTATTTGCCAGGCAAGTACTCTATCAATTGAGTTATATCCCTCATCCCTTTTGGTTTACTTATTTGGAAGATGGGGCTTTGTAATTTTTTGCTCAGAACTGTCCGGGCCATGATCCTCCTATTTATATTTCCTCATAGCTGGGATTACAGACCCAAGCCACGGAGTTGTCAGTTAAGATGGACTCTCCCTTAACTTTTTGGCCCCGATGGCCTCGAAGTTCAATCCCTCTGCTATCTGCTTCTTAAGTAGCTGGGATTACAGGAGTGAGCAACCGTGCTCAGCACTGTTCTTTTCTTTCTTAAAACATGCATGGCACTGTCACCTGCTTTTTTTCACATAAGTATGACTTGGTGAAATTCAACTTCCTTAAGCCATGGAGAGACATTGTCTGGCATTTCTTTATTTCTTTTCTTTTTTTGGTGGGGGGGTCCGGTCGTGGGGCCTGAACTCTGGGCCTGGGCGCTGTCCCTCAGCTCTTCAGCTCAAGGCTAGCACTCTACCACTTGAGCCACAGCACCATCGAACCCAGGGCCTCATGCATGCAAGGCAAGCGCTCTACCACTAAGCCACCTTCCCAGCCCTTGTCTGGCATTTATTTCTATGTTATCTCTCACTCAGCCACATGTCAAGGAAAGCATTGTTAAACAGCATTCAAGAACTTTAAGCAGTCACATTTCGAAGAAGTAACTGCCCAAGTATCCAGTGTATTGAAGGTAGGTATTGAAGAAGTCAGGGTAATAGATCAACAGCGGAGCTGGGCCTTTGAACCCAGGTCGGTGTACCTGAAGCTCCACCTCACATCTCTCTAGAAGCAACCAGGGAGCCAGACTGACAATCACTGTGCGTTCAAAGCAGCTGCTAGGGATGGGGGAGGGGGGAGGGGGAGAGTACCTTTGCAATGCAGTGAGGCCTGGTTTTTGTACAGTCCTGGGTTCGATCCCTAGCACTGCAAGTAGACAAAGCGGCTGCTGCTGTAAGCTGACGGGCGGGGGGGCTGGGGATGGAGAGGATTAAAATGACCTGTTTTCAGCAGTCCTGGGGACAAGGTCTCTTCTGATGAGGACTGACTCTCAGGGATGACAGAAAACACAGCGGGCATTTGGTAATTTGCGGAGCGGGGAGGGCTGCGGTGAATAACAAAGCTAATAACCATCACCTGACAGCCGTTTCCCACCAGCTCCTTTCTTACCACACATCTGGCATTTCGGCTGCCTTCCCTCTGCTGCATTAGTTATTTGTCATTAGGCCAGACGGTGGGAACAAGGGACCGTCCCGATGCCAGTGAGCTGCCTCTTTAACCCTTGCCTCACCGAGCCTGCCTCAGGAGGAGAAAGAAGACTCCCCCCAGAGTGAAGAAGATGTACCTGCTCCACAGCTCCCTCTAGAGGCCCCTGGGACATTCAGACTCCAGAACCTGAACCCAAACCCTGCTGTTCACAAGCTGGTGAGACTTAAACGTGAAAAGGCCAACAGGCTACCCAGACCCCTGCCCCTCCTCCTTACTCTGCGTAGAAATGCTGGCTTTCTCCTCTCACCGCCTGTCTGCTGTGTTACACACACACACACACACACACACACATCCTTTTGTTGTTGTTGTCGGTAGAAGGGACTGGAACTCAGGGCCTTGAACTTGCTAGGCAGGCACTTTACTGATCAGCCATATTCCCCAGTTCTTCTCACACAGGTTATTTTTTTGAAGACATTCTCCAGTTTCCTGGATGGAGGCAGAGAGAGGAATGACAAGGTCACCAGGAGCCGCCTAAAGCTAAGAAGAGAGGCCAGAAAGATGTAGCCTGAAACTCTGAGATCCTCCTCCAATTCCTATGTTGAAACTATAAACACCACCATCACCATCACCACCACCACCCCGGCCCCAAGATGGCTGTATTTGGAGAGGAGCCCTAAGGAAGCAATTCAGTCCTTGTTGAACTAGAAAGAGACTCAGAAGTAGAATGGAGTCCCACACTGCCATGTATTCCAGCTGGCTCTCTGTTGTCTTGTTGTCCTGGGAATTTTCAGAAAACATAACCTGTTTCTTTCCAAACCAAAAAAGATTTTTTTTTTGCCCTTATTTGTGTTGCTTGGCCACCAACCCTCATGTTTTAGCAACAGTAACCACCAAATGGATGTTGACTCACTTTTGTTTTGAAAAGAGAAATCTCTGTTCAAAAGCAATTAACCAACCGGGTGCCAGCTGAGGCCGTGTGTGTATGTGTGTGTGTGTGTGTGTGAGTGAGTGTGTGTGTATGTGTATGTGTGCACACACGCACATGCAAAGACAGGCCCTTGTATTTTACATCTGTGGCCCTATATGCCTGAGTGCTTGTATTTGTGTGTCCATGGTCCCGTGGTCCATGGGTGGGCACAGCTGTGTGTGTCTACGTGTGTCTGTGAACACATCAGTGTGAAATCCATCCTTTGATGGTTCCCCAACCCATATAGGAAAACCCAGAGTCTTACCATGGACCAAAAGTTCTAACCCCGAATCCCTGTTTCCCTGTTAGCCTTTTTGTCTGCAAGAGCCAGCCTGAGCCTCTACCTATGTGCATGTACCTGAGTGCATAGAGGGGTGTCATGTACAGCCTTTGGGGGGGGGTGCCATGTCTACTCAGACCGACCGTAAGAAAATCAGCACCTTTGCACACAAAGTGTGTGGCACGTGCCAGGGGCTGGTGGCTCACACCTGTCGCTCTAGAACTCAGGACCTGCAGCTGTCCCTCAAGGCTGGTGCTCTACCACGTGGACCACAGCTCCATTTCTGGCTTTTTGGTGGTTACTTGGAGATAGGAGTCTCACCGACTTTCCTGCCCAGGCTGGCTTGGAACCACGATCCTCGGATGTCACCTGCTGAATAACTAGGATGACAGGCGTGAGCCACCGGCGCCCTGCAAACAGCTTTGACCTTTAACCTTTTCTTCCTCACCCCAGTATTGAGGATAAAGCCGGGGCCTTGCACCAGCGGGGCTACCACCGAGCCGCCCCCCACCTCATCCCGTTCAGCTCCCTTGGAGAAGAGGGTTCGGACCCCCGTGCAGAGACGCGCCCAGTCCCGGCAGGTGACCGGTGACAGCGGCGGCCCCCCCCCCAAAATCCGGAGCGAGAGTAACAGGTGTCCGCCAGCGGTCCCAACACGCATGCGCGGCCCGGGCGTGTGGGCGTGGCCGCGGGCGGCGCCGCCGTTCGCTGTGCTGATTGGAGGCGTGGCCGCGCCTGCGCAGCCCGCCCGTCATGGCGGCCCCCTGAGTCCCACGGCGAGGGGGTCGGGAGCGACTCCAAGCTCCGGGGTCGCGGCGGGTAAGCCGGGGAGGGAGGCGGCGGGGCGGGACGGGGCGGGGCGCCTGCTGGCACCGAGCCCCGGGGCCGCGAAGCCTAAGGCCTGGCGTCACGCTTGGCCTCAGTTTCCCTTTCTGACCAGGGTGTGGGGTCGGGTGGGGAAGGGGGGGGTGCCCGCCCCATGGCTGCCTTTAGAGAGCCCGGAGGTTGGCCCACGAGGTTGGGGTTGCTATTAATGCACATTTTCTTTATGGAAAGGGCGTTTCTCTTCCTGTATGAGAAGAGTATATGGAGAATAGGTGTGTGTGTGTGTGCGTGTGTGCCTGTGTGTGTGTGTGCGTGTGTGTGTGCACATACGTATTCCTTTCTATAAATAAAATGTTGCCCTAAAGGTAGCTACCGGGGAGCTGGGAAGGTGGCTCAGTGGTAGAGCGCTTGCCTTGCATGCATGAGGCCCTGGGTTCGATTCCTCAGCACCACACACACACACAGAAAAACCTGGAAGTGGTGCCGTGGCTCAGGTGGTAGAGTGCTAGCCTGGAGCAAAAAGAAGCTCAGGGACCGTGCCTGAGTTCAAGCCCCGAGACTGGCCAAAAAAAAGTAGATACTGGGCAAACAAAACAACAACGAAAGCCGGACTCCGGTGGTTCACACCTGTCATCCTAGCTACTCAGGAGGCTGAGATCCGAGCATTTCGGTTCCAAGCCAGCCCGGGCAGGAAAGTCTGTGAGACTCATCTCCAATAAACCACTCAGAAAATCGGAAGTGGCGCTGTGACTTAAGTGGTAGAGTGGTAGCCTTGAGCTGAAGAGCTGAGGGACAGCACCTAACGTTCAAGCCCCACCACCAACCAAAAACAACAACAACAATAATGATGTTCTAGCAGGTCCCTTCTTATGGCAGATACAGAGGAATTGGCCAGGGAAATGTCTTGGGCCGGATCATGCAAGGCTGTTGGCCTGGTCTGCATGGTGGCCTCTGAGGATCATTGTCCCCCCCTCCCCAGGTGCTCCTGTCTCAGGAATCACAGATGCAGCCATGGATGAGGTCAGCTTCAGGAGCGACACTGTGCTGTCCGATGTCCACCTCTACACTCCCAACCACAGGCACCTCATGGTGCGGCTGAACAGCGTGGGGCAGCCCGGTGAGGCCCTGGGTTCCGGTGGGGTTCTGGGCCCATGGATCCTATTTGTTGTTGTTGTTGTTGTTGTCTGTTGTTGTTGTTGTCGTCGTCATCCACACTCATCTCTCGGGGAGAGCGTTGGGAAGACAAGATGACCGTGTGCGTCTTATTCTCCCACCATGTACGCGTCTTGCCTGCATGAACGCTTGTGCTTTCCGGAGCCCAAAGCCCGCTGACAGCAGTGTAGACATGAATGCACCCACACTTCAGTGTCAGGACAACACAGCGTCTCCGTCCCCCCCCCCCCGCCAGTCCCCAATCCCCTGCCCTGCTCCAGCCGGCTGCTCGTAGAGTCTGCCTGGCTGCCTCTGCTTCCTCCACGTAGCTCTCTCCCCCTCACCTCCTCCCTGTCCCTCTAACAGGATACCTGCCTCCCCCCCCCCTCCCCAGCCCTGGCTCCTGCGAAGTCAGCTCCCCACACAGACCCCCGGCTGCCCCACCCCCGACCCAGTCACCCCGTTTCCATCACTGATGGCTGGGGTTACTAATAACTGCTGCTCCCTTCGTGGCCCCCACCCCAGCCGCGCCCCGTTCCGTGGAAGCAGCCAGAACCCACGTGTTCCTGGGTTTGCACCGCTGCTGAGCCAGTTGCCTCAGAGGTCATCTGACTCACAGAGCTTAAAATATTCCCTGTGTAATCTGTGGCAGAGAAAGGGCAATGATCCTCGCATTCTCTGACTGCCCCTCGGTGCCACACAAAGCCTGACCTCTTCCCCCACCGTCCCTAGACCAGGGGCCTGGGATCTTGTTCTCTGCTTTTATATCCTGTACCTACAACATTCCCGGCACACAGCTGGCGCTCAGTGCATGCTTGTGGGGTGATGGCTAGGTAAGTGGGGTGCTGGAGAGTACCCCAAAACTTGAGATTCTGAGCAGAGGAATCCAGAACAAAAGCACCTGAGGTTTTGGGGGTTTTTTTTGGTGCCAGTCCTGGGGCTTGAACTCAGGGGCTGGACACTGTCCCTGAGCTTCTTTTGCTCAAGGCTAACTAGCGCTCTACCACTTGAGCCACAGAGCCACTTCTGGCTTTTTCTGTGTATGTGGTGCTGAGGAATCGAACCCAGGGCCTCATGTATGCAAGGCAAGCATTCTACCACTGAGCCACTTATAAGCTAAGTCTTGAATGGTAAAAAGACATGCAATCTAGCCAGGCACTGGTGGCCCACACCTATGATCCTATCCCCTCAGAAGGCTGTGATTGGATGATTACAGGTTCAAAGCCAGCCTGGACAGGAAAGTCCATGAGACTTTTTGTCTCCAATTAATCATCAGAAAACCAGAAATGGCCCTGAGTTCAAGCCCCACAACTGACAAAAAAAAAAAAAAGTCATGCTATCCATGCCTTATCTCCAATTAACTATCAAAGAGCTGAAAATGGAGCTGTGGCTCAAGCTGGGAGAGCATTAGCCTTGCAGGGACAATACCCAGGTCCTGAATTCAAGCCTCAGGATCAGCACACAACACAAAAGTTTTCCAGCTGGTAATGAACTGTCTTATCAGAAGGAGAGGAAATAAAAGACTCCTGAAATGAACCTCGTTCTGTGTCTTGTCTTTCAGTTTTCCTGTCCCAGTTCAAGCTGCTGTGGAGTCCAGACTCTCGGACAGACTCAGGGTCTGAGAGTGCCCGTTATGGAGATGTGCCCGCCCGGGAGGCCCCTCCCCCTGGGCCAGGCAGCCCAGGGTCTCCTCCGAGAAGCAGCTACGTTGGTGAGAGTGCGGCCCTCCAGGCTGGCCAGGAAGGGTTGGGTGCTCAGCTGGATGAGGACGGGGATCTGGACGTGGTGAGAAGACCACAGGCCACTTCTGAGCCCGACCCAGCGGGGCCTCCCAGAGACAAGGTACATCCCATGATCCTAATGCAGGAGGAAGCCGGCGTCCCGGGACCTGAGGGACCAGAGAGCGGTCCCCACAGCGTCATCCAGATAGGTAAGAGCCAGCACCCACTGCCCAGGCCACCCTACAGTACGGGCAGGGCCCAGGAAATGTTGTGGGTGTGGGTACTGAGTTCAAGGCGGGGCCAGCTCAGGTCATCTCCTGCTCCCTGCGGCCATCAGGCCAGAGTCCTGCTCACGAGCTGTGCTGTCCTGACAGGGGCCTCTGTTTCTTGTCCCCAACCCTTGACCTTCACGACCCTCCTACCTCTGGGCCTCTGCTCTGCGGGGCCTCCTCCCTGGGACACGCTGCCCACCTTTGCTTTCCTAACACACTGCTCACTGTCGGTCTGTCCTGCTCTCCTCCCCTGGGAAAGCCTGGCTGCCGCCTGGTGTGCAGCGCCTGTGACCGGCCCAGGATGGTAGGAGGTTTAGCCAGGCCCCGCTGGCAGCAGGGAACCAGGGCAGGTGCAGAGGTGACTAGTCTGGGCCTCTCAGAAGCTAGAAACTTAGCTGGAAAAGGCTTGGGGGGGGGGGGAAGAAGTAGAGTGAGAACGAGGCTTCACCAGCAGGCAGAGGCAACCCAAGAACACCACTGCTCAGGCCTAGCCAAAGCTCCACAGCCCCTGCCCCCCAGCCACTCTCTGCTCGTGTGCCAAGCACCCAGAGTTTTCTGGCCCTGGCCTTGGGCTCCTCACTTCCCAGTAATCCCAACCATTGAGTGTCAGGGACCCTGATGCTCTGCAAAGCAAGAGCCGCTCGCAAAGCCCCCCCTCGCCCCCCCCCACACTCACCGAACCTGGACTCACGTTCTTTCTGCGCAGCGGCACCCTCTGGGGAGGGACAAGACCCCGTCCCATGTGGCGCTGTCCGATGACAAGCCCTTTGTCTTACTTTGATTTTTTTTTTTTTTTTGTCGGTCGTGGGGCTTGAACTCTGGGCCTGGGCGCTGTCCCTCAGCTCTTCAGCTCAAGGCGAGCACTCTACCACTTGAGCTATAGCGCCACTTCCGGTTTTCTGGTGGTTTATTGGAGATAGGAGTCTCATGGTCTCTCCTGCCTGGGCTGGCTTTGAACCCCTATCCTCAGATCTCAGCCTCCTGAGTAGCTAGGATTACAGGCATGAGCCACCAGCGCCCGGCTTTCTTACTTTGATTTTTGCAAAGCACTCTAAGCTTGAACCTCCACTTCTGCAAAACAGGAGTGACCGCCTAGTAGGGTCTTGCCGGTGTGAGCCACCCAGGTTCTGAGATGCCATTACCCCGTTAGTGAAGGCAGACGGCTGCTGGGAGGCCAGCAGGCGGCTTTCTATTCCACTTGCCAATCAGGTGGCCATTTATCAGGCCCCACACCCTCAGCCTTGTTCCTCCAATCTCAGCCTCCTGAGTGGTTAGGATGACAGGTATGAGCCATGGGTGCTCAGTTACGAATCCCCTTTGATGCAGGGCTCACATCCCACTCTTCAGGTCGGGCAGAATCTGGCCAGGCTTGGTCTGGAAAAGCCCTCAGAGCAGCCCACCCAGCCTTGACACCGGCACGGGGCACCCCATTGGGAATAGCATGCATGTGGGCACAGTGGCCTCCGGTCACAGGGATCTGCTTACACTGAGAGTTTGTGGGGACCAAGGTGAGCCTGGAACATACGACCACCTGGGGGCGAAGGGGGGGAGGGCGGTAACCACACACCTCCATCCTCCACCTCCAGGTCTCCTTCTTCCTTCACTTTTTTTGTGCCAGTCCGGGGGGTTGAACTTAAGGCCTAGACACTGTCCCTGAGCTGCTTTTGCTCAAGCACTCTACCACTTGAGCCACAGCGCCACTTCTAGTTTTCTGGTGGTTCATTGGAGATCAGAGTCTCATGGACTTTGCTGCCTGGGCTGGCTTTGAACTGCAATCCTCAGATCTCAGCCTCCTGAGTAGCTAGGATGACAGGCGTGAGCCACCAGCACCCAGCTTCTCCAACTTTTTAAATAAAGGATATCATTTCAAACTCACTTTTTTTTAAACTTCTCATGTGGCTCTACGTGGAAGGAAACATTTCCGGATGAGTTGTTATTATTGTTAGCATCTGCGTGTATGGCCGTCATAAAGCAGCAGCGGCGGTGAGGTAGAGGAAGATGGTGAAGGGTGTCTCTGAGCTGGGTCAGACCCGTGGGGCAGGGTCACCCCCAGGACTGAAGGAGGGTGAGCCGGGCCGGGTCCTCGTGGCACACAAGGACTGGTCCTCTCCCACCTGGCAGCAGGGGCCGTGCTGCTTTCCCAAACCACCCACCTCACACACCTTCGCTTGCACACACACGTGCACATGCACGCCGTGGTCTTCGTCCTTCCCCGTCTCACCCTGGCCGTCTCTCTCTTGGTTCCCCTCCGAGCAGAGCACACCATGGCCACGACCCTGGAGGATGTTGGCAAGCAGGTGGGTAGGCCCTGCCCACTTCCCGCCACCCCGCACGGCCTCCCTGGGGCCCCCCCAGCAGCTGTGGTCCTTCGCCCTCCTCTCCCCGCCTCCCCCCAGGTATGGCGGGGCGCCCTGTTCCTGGCAGATTACATCCTGTTCCGACGGGACCTCTTCCAAGGATGCACAGCGCTGGAGCTCGGGGCGGGCACGGGCCTGGCCAGCATCGTGGCCGCCACAGTGGCAAGGACGGTGTACTGCACAGGTGACCGGGCGCCGCCCAGATGGGGGGGTCTGGGGGGGTGGGCCTCGTCCTCATAGCCTCGCGCCCAAACCAAGGCGGAGGCTCCGGGAGCTGGGTGCGGGCTGCGGCAGATCTGATGCCACCATTTTCCCAGTTCCCCATCCCCCACTGCTTCTCAGTGACATCCGAGCTCCGGGCAACACCCAGGCAGCCAGCACCACAGCCACCACAGTGTCACCCAGCCGCCACGGACCGCCAGGCACCCCCAGAAAGAGCAGGGAACCATGGGCCTCTGGCAAGGCCTCACCAAAATGGGTCATCCCGTACAGCCCCCGGGTTCATCCAGCAGTGTGCGACGTGCTCAGCACCTGCTGTGTACCTGGTACAGCTCGGCCCAGCACAGACCCACATTCTTTTCATTTCTGTTTTAACGATCTTTTTTTATTTTCAGTCTTTTTTCTTTCTCCCTTTTTGGCAGTCCTGGGGTTCTGTGCTAGCTAGGAAGGTACTCCTACCACTGGTACGGGAGGAGTCCCCCAACAGTTGCTACAATCTTTTTTTTTTTTTGGTCAGTAAGGGCCTGAGTGCTGTCCCTGAGTGTTCTTGCTCAAGGCTAGCACTGTAACACTTTTGAGCCACAGCGCCACTTCCGGTTTTCTGGAGATAAGAGTCTCACTGACTTTCCTGCCCAAGCTGGCTTTGAACTGTGATCCTCAGATCTCAGCCTCCTGAGTGGCTAGGGTTACAGGTGTGAGCCACCAGTACGCAGCTTTCATTTTTATTTCTGTGCACAAACTAGTAGCTGAATGCAAACTTTGTGTAGGTGATACATACACACACACACACACACACACACACAGAGAAAACCATCCTGCCAAATATGTTGAAATAAATTTTCCTGTGTCATATATGATGCCATCACTGGGCATTTTTTTTTTTGGGTCCGGTCGTGGGGCCTAAACTCTGGGCCTGGGTGCTGTCCCTCAGCTCTTCAGCTCAAGGCAAGCACTCTACCATTTGAGCCACAGTGCCACTTCCAGCTTTTTTTTTTGGCTTACGTGGTGCTGAGGAATCGAACCCAGGGCCTCAGGCATGCAAGGCAAGCACTCTACCACTGAGCCACCTTCCCAACCCATCACTGGGCATTTTAATCACTGGTGTTTTGTTTTGTTTTCCACATCTGTTGATCGCACATTTGTTGAACATCTCTGTGCATAGTTGTCTGGTCCTGACAAAGGAGTATAACTTGTTCTAACAGCTGAGTTCTGTTTCCATTCTTATTTTGAAATCCTGCTAGATTCACAAAGCAGTTGCTAAGCTCACCCAGCAAGTGCATTCTACCCTTCCCCCACACCACAGCGCAGCAGTCAGACCCAGCCAGCTGAGGACATGCTGGTGTTATCATGGCAGTGACCTCTAGATGGCGCCCTACTATGTAGTTCAAGTTGGCCTTGAACTCCATCTTCCTGCCTGGGTCCCTGAGTGCCAGGATCACCACACCCTGCTCCCCAAGCCGAGTTCCTTCAGTGCCCTTCTCCTCGCGGAAAGTTTGTCCGAATGCACTGTCCACGTCTGTTACGTCTGTTACGCTGAAACAAAGATCCCAAGCAGCTCCAGCGGGCGGCGGTGGTAGCCAGCAGTGCCCCACTCAGGAGCCCCACTTCCCCTCCTCTGACTCTGCTGTGAATCCCTGAGTCAATCCGAGCCCCCATTCTGGTCCCAGTGAGTTCTGGAGTTTCAGAGTGAGCCTAAATTTGGGGTGGGAGGCCCTGGGTTCCAGCCCATCATTGGCTTTTCCTGGTCACTCAATCTGATGGGGTCACCGCTCCCGTGACCTGCAGCCTGGAGGCTGCACCAGGGGAATGCCGGGCGTGGGTCCTGTGATGTGAGAGATGTGGGGACTCGGTTTACCTGCATCTCACGTTTACAGGAACGCCATCGAAAAGATCCCATGGGTGGTGGGTCTGCTCTCTGCCATTGCCTTTTGGGGAGCGGGTCTCGGGGAGAGCCCCTGGGGACGGGCGGCCTGACCCCCCCCTCCCGCCCCAGCAGCCCTTCTGTCATTGCAGATGTCGGCGCAGACCTTCTAGCCATGTGCCAGCGAAACGTCGTCCTCAACAGCCACCTGGCAGCCACTGGAGGTGAGGCCTGGCCGGGGCGATTTCCCTGGTGGGCAGGCAGGCAGGCAGGCCAGACTCCCAAAGTGGCAGGAGAGGGGGGCGTCCACGCTTGCCCGGCTTCGTTGTCCGAAGCGGGTTGCCTGGGGCCTCCCCAGCATCCCCTAGCCCGACGCCAGTTCCCTCCCCTGCGCATCCTCTTCGCAGCGCCTTGTTGGTGCAGTCCGCGCTGTCTGTGAACCTGCCAGCCCTCGGACTGAGCCAGTCCCCAGGATCGGGGGCCACGGCTCCTCAGGGAACACATTCCCTGTGCTGTGCCCACACTTAGCACTGAGGAGGAAAGGGAGTCAGGAAGGGAATGCCAGAAGGGTGGGAAGATGGTGGACGTGGGGTGAGGGGGAAGGAGGCGTGGGGGGGCGGGTCTTGCTCTCTTCCCGGGTCATGTGCACCATTTGGCAGCTCTGGTTTTGGCTTGCAGGTGGAGTGGTGAAGGTCAAAGAGCTGGACTGGCTGAAGGCCGACCTCTGCACAGGTATGCCCCAGGCCCCCGGTTCCCATTTCTCCCCGATGCCTGAGGCCCGAGGCCTCGGCCGTGTCCTACAGAACAGCAGCAGCGTGCTGCACAGTCCCAGCACCTCGAGGCTGCTCCCAACCCCCCGCCCAGTGGGCAACAGCTCACCATCGTGGGGATGGGGGCTTCCATCTGGGTGGGGCGGAGCACAGGGGCACCCAGGTATGACAGGTCCGTTCCCTCTGGGGCTGGGGGGAGGTCTCTAGATTGTTTCCACCAGCCAGAGCATTGCAGCAAGGCTCCTGGGGAGATGGGGGGGTCACTCAGCAAGGACAGTATGGCACAGATCACGTTCACACAGGGCCCAGGTGGGATCCTGCCTGCCTGTCATTGGCTGTCTACACACACACAGGACCCTGGACAAGGCTCCACCCACTGATGCTGGGAGCCGGCGGCCCGGAGGGGAGGGGCCGGGCCTCACCCCCTCCTGCCTCCCCTGCAGATCCCGCGGTGCCCTTCAGCTGGTCAGAGGAGGACATCGCCGACCTGTACAGCCACACCACTGTCCTGTTTGCCGCCGAAGGTGAGACCGTCCACCGGCAAAGCGATAGTGTCCCCTCACCTCCACAGAGCCACCTGCCTCTTCAGAGCGTCTTTCCAGAATGTTCCGCCGCAACTCACACGGTTCCCTGGTGATCCAAACCTCCTCTCTAGCATCCTCCTGGGCCTCTCCGTGCGTTCCCCAACCCTGCTCTCTTCCCACAGTGTTCTACGACGACGACCTGACGGACGCACTGTTCCACACGCTCTCCCGACTGGTGCGCAGACTGAAGAACGCCTGCACGGCCATCCTGTCGGTGGAGAAGAGGTGAGCGCTGCTGGCCGGCCAGGGCCCCCCAGCGGCGTCCTCCGCTGGCCAGGGCCCCTCCAGCTGCGACCTCCGCCGGTCAGGGCCTCCCACAGCTGCGCACTGAGCGCCCGCTGCGTGCTAGCCCGGGCTTGACCCTCACACTGTCCTGTGATACACCGTTGTCAGTCCCCGCCCTCTCCACTTGCAGGGGAAAAGGGGGAGGCAGGGAAACTAGGGGTTCGTCCAGGCCCCACCGAGAGGTTGTGGCAGACAGGGATCCAGATGTCACCTGGACCCAGCCTGTGCTGAGGCCCTTAATATACTTGAATTTCATTTCTCTGTGAGAAAAAAAAAAAAAGCCACAACATTTTTTCTTTATTTTTTTGGAGAGGAGGAGGAATGAGGGTCCGTCATGGGACTTAAACTCTGGGCTGGACTGGGCGCTGTCCCTGAGCTCTTCAGCTCAAGGCTAGCACTCTACCTTTTTCTTTATTCTTGTCTCCAAAACCTGAAATGAGATACTGACATAAATATAGTAATAATAGCAGAGCTTGTCTGGCACATGCAGAGGCCCTGAGTTCAACCCCAGAACTATAAACTATAAGGACACAAAAAAGGAACCAACAAAATATCTTTTTTTTTTTTTTTTTGGTCAGTCATGGGGCCTGAACTCTGGGCCTGGGCATTGTCCCACAGCTCTTCAGCTCAGGGCTAGCACTCTACCACTTGAGCCACAGCGCCACTTCCAGCTTTTTCTGCTTATGTGGTGCTGAGGAATGGAATCCAAGGGCCTCATGCATGCAAGACAAACACTCTACCACTGAGCCACCTTCCCAGCCCCAACAAAATATCTTTATGAAGCCCAGCACCAGTGGCTCATACCAGTCATCCTAGCTACTCAGGAGTCTGAGATCTGAGGATCCTGGTTCAGAGCCAATCCAGGCAAGAAAGTCTGTTGAGACTCTTATCTCCAGTAAATTACCAAGAAAACTAGAAGTGGAGCTATGGCTCAAGTGGTGGAGGGCTAGCGTTGGACAAAAGCAGCTCGGGCCCTGAGTTCAAGCACCAGAACTGGCCCAAACCCCAGCATATTCCCATGTATTGTCTTTGTGTCCTTGGTAAGTCTGCCTGCAGGGATGGCTGCTGTGGCTTCTGTGTAGATTTGGGCCAGGCCCGTACATTGCACGCATCCCTTGCAGCATTGCGCCTGTTAGAGCCTGGGTCCTCACTTGACACACATTGCCAGTGTCATAGCCCAGATGCGGGCACGGCTTGGAGAGGTGAGCCCCAGGAGCCGCAGAGCAGAGCCTTCCCAGGTCCTGACCGCTGGCTGCTGTCTGCCGGCCCCTCCACAGGCTCAACTTCACTCTGAGACACCTGGACGTCACGTGCGAAGCCTACGACCACTTCCGCTCGGGCCTGCAGGCGCTGGCGAGGCTGGCGGAGGGCCGGCTGCGCTTCATGGTGGAGCGCGTGGAGGCGTCCTTCCCGCAGCTGCTCATCTACGAGCGCGTCCGGCAGCTGGTGTGTACGGACTCCGGCCCAGCCCAGGGCGGAGGCTGCTGCCGGGACCCTGTCTTTGGGACGGCGGACTGTGGTGGCTGGAGGGCCCGCGGGCTGGAAGTCAGTGGAAGGGATTGGAGGGCTGCGGGTCCCGATGCCCGGCTCCCACGCGCGGTGCGTGACGGTCCCCCCTGCCCCGTGGCCTCGCCTAGGCTCCGTGCCACCCCCTCCCATCAGGCCTCCGGGTAGTCCGCAGCAGTGAGAGCTCGCGCTCCCGGGGTGCCACGCCCAGCACCTTGTGTCCACTGTCCCCGTTCATCTTCGCAGCAGCCGAGATGGGCGATGTCACCCAGCCAGGAAGCGGCTGAGCCGAGACGTAGTTGTACCTCCGTGTCACTCCCTGTGACAGCTTTTAAACCCAGCCCTTAGAATTTGAAGTCAAAATTACCCTAAAACTACCCGGAGCCGGATTGGTAGAAGCTCAGGACAGCGCTAGCATCTTTCGTTCTCTCTGCCTTTCGGCCGAGGCCTCTTGGCTTCGCGTCTGTGGAAGATCCAGGCCTCGTTCTGAGCAGGAAAAGGGACGATGAGGGATTGGCGTTTCCCCATGGAGCTCAGCGGTGCCCAGCCCTCACCATCCCCTGAGCAGATGCCCTGCCCGCAGTCCCTGCCGGTCTCCAAGTAGAAATGGAGGCCCCAGGGTACCACGAAGCCTGGCACATGGGCGCCTGCTCCACACCTGCCACCATTAAAACTGGCATCACGGGGCTCAGTGCCATGGGACATAGCAGTGAAGACCCCCCCTTCCCCCCCTCCCCACCAACTGCAGGGCCACCACCAGTCCCCAGTGATTATGTGACCTCCAATGCCTCTTGAGTTAGTGCCACGTCTTAATCTGTCCAGCCTGGGCTGTGGGGAAAGCGCCCGGCCCCCGTGGCTGGCTCCACGCTGCCCTGCTCTCTCTCTTTGGCCCTGTCGGCACACGCTCAGGTCCTGTCCTTGTGTTTGCCGCAGGAGCTGTGGAAGATCGTCGCAGAGCCCGCACCATGACCGGTGGCCTCCGCGAGGAAGGGCAGCCCACCCGCCATCTTTCTAATAAAATCAAAAGCTCCGCAACGCCGGCCATTCGAGGTACTGTTGTTTCAAAGTCTGGTGATAAGTGGACTTGAGGTGACCCAACCTGGTTTTCTAGGACCTGTCCCTGCCTCCCCCCAGTCACCCCCCCACCCCCACCGCCCCAACAGCCAGAGGGCCCCATTGCTTTGGGCTGGTGGAGTAGGTTCCTCAGGAGCCACCTGGTCCAAGCAGAGCAGACGGCTGCTGTCCACCTGATGCTCTTCCTGTCAGCCACCTTGGCATGCTGTGTGCCGGACTCAGGGCCTCAGCACCAGGAGCCCCCATTTCTAATCTGATCCCCACAGTTCCTGCCTCATTTCCCCATCGATTCACTTCCATCCGGGCACATTGCCTCTCCCCACTGTCCCCCGCCATCCTGCACCTTGTGTGCATTCAGTCTGTCTGTCCGTCCCATCTTCTCCCCACTCTCTGTTCTCCCGGCCCCACTCCTCCTTCCTCTCCAGTGTCAGCCAGTCTCCCCGCAGCCCTGCCCCTTCTGCCCACTCCAGGTAGACCAGCTGCCCCCAGCACGACTGTGCACACTCCCGCACGCACCAGTCTAAACTCACCATGTCTCCTAACAAAGCTGGGGTTGGCAGCAGGGGTGCGCCCTTTGCACAGCCAAGAAGACAAAGGCTGTCAAAGGAGCAGAGTCCCCGTGAGGCCAGCGGCCCACCACGCCTCCCCCCTGTGCGCCCGCTGCGTCATCTGCACAGAATAAAACCATAGCGCACGTCACCGGGGGATTGCTAATACTGATTATTAAGGGGAGCCGTGTTTTGTAACCGTGAGTGACTTTGTCTCTGGGGACACTCCACGCTGTGTGGAGATATGGGTTTGGTCATCAGCCTGGAGCGTGGGGGAGGAGGCCCCAATGTTGCGAACCATCCCAGAAGGCATAGACCACCACCAGCACAGAATGAAGTGCCAGGGTAGAGAAGCCCTGCCTGGAGGAAGAGGACCAGCCCGGAGATGGAGGGGACCAGCCCTGCAGGGGGGACGGAGGGGACCAGCCCTGCAGGGGAGATGGAGGGGAGACCAGCCCTGCAGGGGGAGATGGAGGAGAGACCAGCCACTGCAGGGGGAGATGGAGGAGAGATCAGCCCTGCAGGGGGGGATGGAGGAGGGGACCAGCCCTGCAGGGGGGGATGGAGGGGAGGACCAGCCCTGCAGGGGGGGATGGAGGGGAGGACCAGCCCTGCAGGGGAGATGGAGGGGAGACCAGCCCTGCAGGGGGGGATGGAGGAGGGGACCAGCCCTGCAGGGGGAGATAGAGGGGAGACCAGCCCTGCAGGGGAGATGGAGGGGAGACCAGCCACTGCAGGGGGTGTTGGAGGGGAGACCAGCCCTGCAGGGGGAGATGGAGGGGAGACCAGCCACTGCAGGGGGAGATGGAGGGGAGACCAGCCCTGCAGGGGGGATGGAGGGGAGACCAGCCCTGCAGGGGGGATGGAGGGGAGACCAGCCACTGCAGGGGGTGTTGGACGGGAGACCAGCCCTGCAGGGGAAAGGAGGGGAGACCAGCCACTGCAGGGGGGATGGAGGGGAGACCAGCCACTGCAGGGGGTGTTGGAGGGGAGGACCAGCCCTGCAGGGGGGGATGGAGGGGAGACCAGCCCTGCAGGGGGAGATGGAGGGGAGACCAGCCACTGCAGGGGAGATGGAGGGGAGGACCAGCCCTACAGGGGGGAGGAGGGGAGGACCAGCCCTGCAGGGGGGAAGGAGGAGAGACCAGCCACTGCAGGGGGTGTTGGAGGGAGACCAGCCACTGCAGGGGGGATGGAGGGGAGACCAGCCACTGCAGGGGGAGATAGAGGGGAGACCAGCCCTGCAGGGGGGGATGGAGGAGGGAGGACCAGCCCTGCAGGGGGGGATGGAGGGGAGACCAGCCCTGCAGGGGGAGATAGAGGGGAGACCAGCCCTGCAGGGGGGATGGAGGGGAGACCAGCCACTGCAGGGGGTGTTGGAGGGGAGACCAGCCCTGCAGGGGGGATGGAGGAGGGGACCAGCCCTACAGGGGGGAGGAGGGGAGGACCAGCCCTGCAGGGGGGATGGAGGGGAGACCAGCCACTGCAGGGGAGATGGAGGAGGGGACCAGCCCTACAGGGGGGAGGAGGGGAGACCAGCCCTGCAGGGGGGGGAGGAGGGGACCAGCCCTACAGGGGGGAGGAGGGGAGGACCAGCCCTGCAGGGGGGGGATGGAGGGGAGGACCAGCCCTGCAGGGGGGGATGGAGGAGGGGAGGACCAGCCCTGCAGGGGGGGATGGAGGAGGGGAGGACCAGCCCTGCAGGGGGAGATGGAGGGGAGACCAGCCCTGCAGGGGGAGATGGAGGGGAGACCAGCCACTGCAGGGGAGATGGAGGGGAGGACCAGCCCTACAGGGGGGAGGAGGGGAGGACCAGCCACTGCAGGGGGGGTGGAGGGGAGACCAGCCCTGCAGGGGGAGATGGAGGGGAGACCAGCCCTGCAGGGGGGGATGGAGGGGAGGACCAGCCCTGCAGGGGGTGTTGGAGGGGAGACCAGCCACTGCAGGGGAGATGGAGGAGGGGACCAGCCCTACAGGGGGGAGGAGGGGAGGACCAACCCTGCAGGGGGGGAGGAGGGGAGGACCAGCCCTGCAGGGGGGGAGGAGGGGACCAGCCCTGCAGGGGGGATGGAGGGGAGACCAACCCTGCAGGGGGGGTGGAGGAGGGGACCAGCCCTGCAGGGGGTGTTGGAGGGGAGACCAGCCCTGCAGGGGGGAGGAGGGGAGGACCAGCCCTGCAGGGGAGATGGAGGAGGGGACCAGCCCTACAGGGGGGAGGAGGGGAGGACCAACCCTGCAGGGGGGGAGGAGGGGAGGACTAGCCCTGCAGGGGGAGATGGAGGGGACCAGCCCTGCAGAGGGGGTGGAGGGGAGGACCAGCCCTGCAGGGGGAAGGAGGGGAGCAGGAACTGTCTCATGATCATGCCATGACTCTGAAATCCTGTAAAGACCCTAAAGGGCGGCGGCACCCCATTTTATATAGGAGAAATGTGAGTTCAGAGAGGTTAGGGCACTTTCCCAACATCAGACAGCTGCTAGGGGCACGGTCAGACTCGGAGCCTGTCCACACCATACCCCCATGACCTCCCCCCCACCAGAAACAGCATGAGAGGCCTAGCAGGCACTCGGTAGAGATGCAGCACTGGGCCCACCCAGGACCCAGTCAGAGTTTTTCCTCTTATTTCCCCGCCACACACACACACACACTTCGCTTTGTTTTAGAAACAGTGCCTCACAATGGAGCCCACACGTGGCCTCAAACACAGCTCTGGTCCCCCGCCCCCCAGTGCCAGCACTCCAGCTGTGCTCTACCATGCCCAGCTAGAATTTCCAGTACGACCCCAGGTGGTTTGTGCGCACAGTCCTTCCAGAAGAGCTGAGCCTTGGGCCTATTCCTGCTCCCCGAGATCCCTGCCCCTCAAAACTGTCAGATAGACCCGCCTCCACTGAGCTGTCAGTCACGCCGGGCTCTACTGAAGGAGCTCGCGGTCGCCCCCTGCTGGCCGCACTCCAGCGCCAACCGCGACATCTCCCAGCGGTCACATGGATGTAATTGGCACCAAGCCTAGCGGTGTCATCAGGGTGAGAGGGGCTGGGATTCATCTGGAGCCACTGTAGCCCAGCATCACTAGACGCTCACTTTGGAGTGAGAGTTGCCAGGTGTTACCGCCTCCCTCCCGAGAGAGAGCCCCTGCAGGTGACACATCAGAAGCATCAAACCGTCGGGGTGTGCGCTCCGTCATCAACCAGACCGCTGGACGCCATTTCTTTTTCCTGACACATTCTGACATTTTCAGAGAAATACATGGCCCTGAGAAAGGGGTGTGTGGTTACTCAGCCATGCCTACTCAGAAACGATCTGTTGAAACCAGCAAATAGTGGCGCTGTAGCCCACAGGGCTTCTGTGCCCACTCCTGGGGGCTGCAGGCAGAGGGAGGAGAGGTTGTGGGAGGGGATCTTGTGCTGCAGTTGAACAAGGCCAGGGCAGGCTGGATGCTGCTGATAGGGTTGAGTGTGTCACTCCTGTTTAAAGGCAAGAACTCAGCCGGGCGCTGGTGGCTCACGCCTGTGATCCTAGTTACTCAGGAGGCTGAGATCTGAGGATCATGGTTCAAAGCCAGTCTGGGCTGGAAAGTTCAGGAGACTTTTTTAAATTATTTATTTGTTTATTTTTGCCAGTCCTGTCGCTTGAACTCAGGTTCTGGGCATTGTCCCTGAGCTTCTCTGTGCTGAAGGCTAGCACTCTACCACTTGAGCCACAGCACCACTTGTGGCTTTTTCTGCTTATGTGGTACTGAGGAATCTAACCCAGAGCTTCATGCATGCTAGGCAAGAACTGTACCACTAAGCCATATCCCCAGTCTTCAGGAGACTTTTATCTCCAGTGAACCACCCGAAAACTGGAAGTAGAGCTGTGGCTCAAAGTGGTAGAGTGCTAGCCTTGAGCACAAAAGCTCAGGGACGGTGCCCAGGCCCTGACTTCAAGCCCCATGACAAACCAAAAAAAGAAAGAAAGAAAGAATCAGGAACTCAAATCAAGCCAAGTTCAATGCTGGCTGTGTAGCCTACCGCCCAGGTGATCTTAGACAAATGACAGATCTCTGAGCGCAATGGACAATAGTAAGCTAGGACTGGGAGCATGGCTCACCCACATCTCAGCTCTGGGCTGCAGTGGTCAGACTTGAATGGCACCAAGGCCAGCAAAGCCAGGATGGGGGGGGTGGGCGGGAGGGGTCAATGAATGACATGAGGGCCTGGGCCAGCACACACACCATGCACACGCCACAGTGCTGAATCCTTGTGAGGCTGGAGGAAACCAAAAGGGGAGGAGCCAGTCTTCAGGTTCACCTGCAGGAGTGGGTTCCTGCCCAGCAGCACAGCGGTGCCGTCCCTAGATCCCCAGAAGGCGGGTAAACACGGCAGGCCTCGCGTCCCCAGGTGAACATCTGGCCTTGGCTAGGAGGACATCATGAGCAGATGTT